CGCCCGGGGTGCGGGGATGGAGGGACCGGGATGCGCGGGGGATGCGCGGGGTGCAGGGACCGGGATGCGGGGGATGCAGGGACCGGGATGCGGGGGATGCAGTGACCGGGATGCGCGGGGGATGCGCGGGGTGCAGTGACCGGGGTGCGGGGATGCAGGGACCGGGGATGCAGTGACCGGGATGCGGGGATGCAGGGACCGGGGTGCGGGATGCAGTGACCGGGGTGCGGGATGCAGGGACCGGGGTGCGGGATGCAGTGACCGGGGTGCGCGGAGCGGGGGTGCCCCGCTGGCCGTGGCCGCTCCGCGCCCCCGCGCTCGGGCGCTCCCGCAGAGCCGCCGTTCCCTCCCGCAGCCGCGGAAACATGTCCGGCTTCCTGGAGAGCCTGCGCTGCTCGGAGTGCGTGGACTGGGGCGAGAAGCGCAACACCATCGCCTCGGTGGCCGCGGGGGTGCTGGTACGGCCCGGCCCGCTCGGGATTTTGGGGTTCTTTTGGGTTTTCTGTCCTAAGATAAAAATGATGAGAGGTTTGGGAGCCTCCGCTCCCGCGTACGGGTGGGAGGATGAGGGGAAACGGCCCCGAGTTCAGGCTGGATAAAAGGGGGAATTCCTCCATGAGAGGGTGGTCAGGCAGTGCTGGAGTCCCTGGGAACGTTTAAAAAAATGTTTAAAAATGTTTTTTAAATGTTTAAAAATACGTGGTTGTGGCATTTGGGGACACGGACGGTTCACGGTGGGCTGGAGCTGTTTTTGAAGGGCCGCTCCACCCTCGGCAGTTCCAGGAAAGGAAGAGCAGGGATACTTTGTCCCTGTGTGTAGCAGCAGAGTTACAAAATCTGGCCGGGTTTCCTCCGTCCTTTTTTTAAATTTCATCATTTTTCACAGGGAGTAACCGCTGGAAAAACCCTTCCTTTGCAGACAGTGATCCCAAACTAACGCTGGCACAGTTCAGTCTGGGTTGGAGGCTGTCAGGCTGTTCAAATATTGCTGTAAAAAATCCATTTTTATTCCCAGGACGGGCTGCGTCTGTGTTTTGAGCTCTGCATTTTAAGCTTTATCTGTATTTTTCCCCCCAGTTTTTCACAGGCTGGTGGATCATCATCGATGCTGCTGTGAAATACCCTCAGGTGGAGGATTTCAACCATTCCTACCACGCCTGCGGGGTGATTGCCACCATCGCCTTCCTCATGTGAGTGTGCAAAAACTTGGAAAAGTTTAATATGATAACATCTGAGGAATAAGAGTTTGGACAATAAAGGAGAATAAAAACAAAGTTACAGATGGCCCAGGTGCCTTCCTGGGCAAATTAAGGCCCAAAAGGAGCCACACTGACAAAGGATTAACCCTTAAAGGCAATAACCTGTTGCTGTTTTGGATATATTTATTTATATTTATTAATTTTCTTTATTTATTTCTATTTATCTTGCTATTTTTGCTATATTTATTTAAATTTCATTTACCTATTTTTATTCATGTTCTTTATTTCTTTATTTTAATTTCTATTTATCTTGCCATTTTTGCTATATTTATTTAAATTTCATTTACCTATTTTTATTCATGTTCTTTATTCTTATTTCTATTTCTCTTGCAATTTTTGCCGTACTTCTTTCATTTCCATTGGCCGGTTTTTTGCTCCTTTACTCACACATCTCCACCTGATGCTGAGTTCTCTTCAAACAAAGGGCGTTCTCTCTTCCTGTCAGCTTCTCCCCTGACCCCGCGGGCTCCTCGGGCATGGGAGGGGACAAAGCTGCTCTTTTCCAAAAAGGAAAAAATAATTTCCAAAAAGGAGGCAATAATCCTTTCCTTGGGGATTTTGGTGTTTTGTTGCCGTTATCTCTGTGCAAAGAATTTCTGGAATATCTTGTCCCTTTCTTGAGCTAGTTAAAAAATGTCTTTGAAAAGTATCACAGTTTCCATTTAACATTATTTAACCCAAAATTCTATTTAATTTCATTGAGCTAGTTTTAAAAGTATCTTACATCGAATAATTTCTGTTTTAAAATTGTGTTATAACCTAAAATTAAGTGTATTCAAATGTATTAAATGATTTATTTTATCTACAGCTTATATTTTATTATTTGTTTATTTCATTATATAAATTATTTATTACATTTATTTACATTTATTAAATTATTTATTTTATCTATAGCTTATACTTTATTATTTGCTTATTTTATTATTAAAATTATTTATTAAATTTATTAGCATGTATTTAATTGTTTATTTCATCTATAGTTTATATTTCATTATTTATTTATTTATTTTATTTTTGAAATTATTTCAAGTCATTTCAATTTATTACATTATTTCATTTATGGTTGATATTTTATTATTTATTTATTTTATTTTTGAAATTATTTCAAGTCATTTCAATTTATTACATTATTTCATTTATGGTTGATATTTTATTCAATTGCTTATTGAATTTATTCAAATTTATTACATTATTTATTTTCTTTACAGTTCATATTTTCTTATTTCTTTTCTTACTTCAATTATTTATTACATTTATTCAAATTTATTCAAATCTAAAAGCTCAGAAACAGTCCTGCCAAGGAACCAGCACCACCCCCAGCAAACCTGCACAGAGCCCTGGGGTGCACCCTCACAGGGACCCTGCAGGGCAGGGGGTCACACCACACTCTAATGTCCCTTTGATGTCACTGTAATGTCACTTTAATGCCACTTTAATGTCACTTTAATGTCACTTTTGGCCAGGATCAACGCCGTGTCCAACGGGCAGGTGAGGGGGGACAGCTACAGCGAGGGCTGCCTGGGCCAGACAGGTACAGGCTTGGATCTCCTGCAAAATTTGGGTTTGCCCAGGGGTTTTTTTGGGTGTTTTTATTTTTTTTTTTTCTGGGAGGCTGAGAAGCTTCAGAGAAAAATGAAAATAATAATTGTGTGATTTGTTTTGCTCGTGTTTTGTCGGGTTGGAGATTGTTTGTTTGTTGGTTTTGTGTGAATTGGTTTTGTTTATTGGTTAATCAGGGCTGAGCTGTGTCAAGTTGTGAGGTTTTGTTTGCATCTTTTAGCTTTTTTTTTGTATTTTTTAGTAGAGTTTTAGCATAGCATTTTTGAATATAATACAGATTATAAACCAACAAATGGGCTTTTTAAGAACATAGAGTCACATTCATCATTGCTTCCAACGATGGGGGGGCTCAGAAAATACAACAAACAGCTGCCAGCTGTGCCAGGGGGGTTTTGGGGCTGGCCCTGTTTGTTTGGGGGGTACAGGACATCCCCTGTTTGTTTGGGGTACAGCACATCCCCTGTTTGGGGTACAGCACATCCCCTGTTTGGGGTACAGCACATCCCCATCCCATTGCAGGAGCTCGAATCTGGCTCTTCATTGGCTTCATGATGGCTTTTGGGTCCCTCATTGCCTCCATGTGGATCCTCTTTGGGGGCTACGTGGTTAAAGGTAAGAGCTGACCCCATTTTTGGAAGTTTAAGGTGTTTTCAGTGATTGCTGGATTTTAGAATTGGTGTTTAGAGGGTTTCTAGGCAGGCCCAGTTTGAGTATTTTGCCCTACACTCCACTCTCCCATTTTATTACTGATATTGGGATGGATTTGATCTATTTCTAAGCACAGACTTCCTCTGAAAACCCAGCTGGGAACTCCATGGATATAATTAACTGCTGCAGTTTTAAGGGAATAATTCCCTGGGTGAACACTTATTCCCAGAATATAAATTACTGAGCTCCTGCAGATTGCTCCCAAAGCCTCTCTGCTAAATTAGCACAAGGGAAAACGACATGTCAGAAATGGGATATGCTTGAAAATTACTTCAAAAAAAAAAATTTATGGGGATGTTTTTTTTCTCTTAGAAAAACCAGTGGTGTACCCAGGAATAGCAGTGTTTTTCCAGAATGCATTCATCTTTTTTGGGTAAGACTGACCTCTTTTATTTGTTCACCATTTAATTTTAATGCTGAAAAACTGAAACTTGCTGTGATCTGGTTGCTCCTAAAGTCCTGTTTTGTAAGCAGACCTGTGTGAATAAACTGGGATCTGCCTGCACAGGAACTGGATTCACAAACACCCCTTGAAACCCTGTGTTTAAAACAAAAGGAGTTTGATTTGTGGTGTCCCTTTGCTGTGTTCCCACAGGGGCCTGGTGTTCAAGTTTGGTCGCACGGAGGATTTGTGGCAGTGAACCCCCCTGGAGTGCCCTGGGCTTTAACTGCACCCCAAAAGTTTTGTAAAACCATTTTGTAAAGCTTCCATTGTGTCTGAAGAGAAATCAAGGAAAGCTGAAAGCACTAAATCCAGCTCTTTTCTGGTTATTTTTTTTACTCTTGTACGTCCACTTCAGTGGTGTGGTGTTTTTGAGAAATGGAAAATTGCTACAAACAGTGGAGTCACTTTTCTAAAATGATGTTTGTTACAAATAAAAGGAGAGTGGAATATGGATGTATTTAACCAGCTCTTTCTATGATGTTATTTACAATCCAAGACTTACTAAAACTGCATTTAAACAACCTTTTAACAGATATTTATTAAATATTTCCTAGATCTGGGCAATATAACCATTTCTTCAATTTCAAACCTTGCTGGCGTGTGGCTTTTCTTGTGTAATTCAGAACTGTGGTGGTTTGGGATTTTTTCTTTCCCCCCCATCCCTGAATATTTCCTTTATCCTGTGGTGATAAAGAGGAAGTAAGAACTCACAGTTGTGTGTGGAAGCTTTGGGCAGCAGCTGAACTCCTTCTGGCTCTGTGGGAGCTGGGAACAAGGAGAACTGGCCCTTCCTGTGCAAGCCTGCATTCCTTGGGAGCTGCCTTCCTCTGGGATCTGCTCATCAGGGAGGGAATGAGGCCAGGGAGCCTCATCAAAGGGCTCAGCCCGTCACGAGCTCCCTCACTCACTGCTCACAGCGTGCTGAAGGAAGGAAAACAGCCACATTTTCACTCCTTTATTAGCTAAGCACTGCTCAAAGATTTTCTATGTCAACTATTTTTGAAAGGAAGAAACGCTGAGGATCACAATCCATTTAAAATCCAGGGTTCACTGGCAGGGAATCCTCTGTCCCCCAAGTCCCTGCACTAACAGAATGGGGTGCTGGCACTGTGCTGTGCCCTCCCAGACACTGCCCTGAGCTCTGGCTGTGTTTTACACTTGGCAGCAAACCCCAGGGGTTTCAGGAACACCACCCACAGCTGAACTTTGGCCATCAGAACCTCCCAACAAGCAGATTTTTCCAGGAGCTCAGGCTGGCAGGATGCAGAGTTCTGGCCCTGCTCCAGCTCACTCATCAAATCCTGGCTCGTCAAGGCCTTCAGCAGAATCAATTCAGCTTAAAAACTTGAGTGCTTTGCTAGATAAGAAGTGCTCCTTGAGAAATGACACTTTCAAATCCATCATTTTGCCTTGTAAACTCGGGAGCTAAAAATAGTTTAATGTTTCCAAGCATTTGGATTGATAAGCCATGAATGCAGACAACTTTTTTGCACATATCTTGTAAAAAAATATTTAAGGTAAGGCAAACAAAGCAGAAAAGCTGAATGCACCTGAAGTTTGCACCTGTGAATTCACACTCTGTATCTTTCAAGAATAACTGGAACAGTTTAGTTTTTGAGTGTCCATTGGAGTGGCTTTTGTGGGCCTGAGAATTGGTATTTCAATCTCTGAACCCATCATAGCTGTTCAGTTTTTCTGGTGATAAAGAGGAAAATCTTATCTTGGTCCTGCCTGTCAGCTGGGATCCTCCACTCAAAATCCAACAGACAAGTGGGGAAACTGTGAACACAAACATTCTTGTATCAGAACATATCAAATCATCACAGGAAAAACCCCCAAACCAAGGGAAAAGCTGATTAAAAGCTTATTTTCACCCATTTGTAATTCAGATACAGCCTCACATCAGCACCTAAGGGTGCCCAAGGACTGTTTGTGCACCAAAATGTGCTGGGAAAAGGAATAACCCTTTTTCCCCCCATATTTTTAATTCAAATACCTGGAGTTCTTCATCAAGGTGCAAAATGAACTCCCCCACAGGGAATCTGAAATCATTTTGAAACTCACCTCCCAGTAAAACTGGTCATCAAAGTACTTGGAGACATGCACTGCTTTCAGCAGTTTGATGTTTAAGATTAAACCTGTTGGATAAAAGAGAGAGATCCAAAATAAACATAAAACACCAGGGCAAGGGGAAGATTGTGTGTAACAGGAGTTTCTTGGCAACATTTATCCCAATGTAACAGATCAAAACACAAATTCAGACCTAAATCCTCCAGCAGAGCCCCCCTGACTCGAGCTGGCCTTAAATACAAAAAGAGGCTTGGAGGATCAAGGCTTGGGGTACTAAAATTGAATTATTTTAGGTTAAACCCCATTAAACAGCTGCTAGATTATGAAAATACATCAAAGTGATGAGTTTCTTGCAGGAGAAGTGCTCGTTTATTAAAAACAACCTGGCTTATCAGCACTGTTAGTTTGGGATCTCTGATGGGAATCTCTGGATTTCTGAACAGTTGGTTAAACACTGAATGTTTGGTTATTTCACCTGGATGTTTTCTAAAGATCTATTCCTTCTTCATTACACTTAAAGTAATGCAAAAGTTTAAATAAATTAAAACACTCTAAAAATCATTGTAGGCTGTGTTTCCCAGCAATTTTCACTGGTCATTTCTCTGTTGCTCCAGACAGAATTAGGGGCTGGGGAAAAGCAGCAGCTGCCACAAACCAGAGCATTCCATGGGAGCCACGTGAGGGCTGCTGCTCCCAAAGCAGCAAAAAGTCCCAAAAATCCCAAAATCTTTTGATCAAAGGGCTGCAGCTGGGCTGAGGCAGCTCCTGATGTTATTGAAACTTTGCACATTTGCTCCAAATGGCCTAAAAAGTGACAAGCCCCAGATTGGGGCATCTTCTGTCACCCAAAAGTGGAAGTGTTTTCATCTTCACACCTGTCCTGTCTGCAGGGTGAAGGCAGCTGGAAAACCTTGGTTAAAATAAAGCTTCAGCACTGAAAGAATGGTGCTGCTGGGTTATTTCTGTGCAAAACAGCTCTGGCTGGGAAGAGTCCCTGGCACTCACATTTCCATTTATCCCACAAGTGATTTAGCCATAGAAACTTGCTCCAAGGAAACAAAGGGATTCCCTGGGATGTTTCAGTACTGACCTGTAATCAAACCTGTTATCAAGGCAGTGCTGATGGTCTGGCAGTAGGCACCAATACAAAACAAGGCAGTGTAACCCAGACTGAAAAGCAAAAAAAGTGTTTCACCTTTTATTTAGCAGTACCACTGTGAATGAATCTGCAGCTATCAAAATCTCTCCTGGAAGCTGTAATTCTCAAATCTGCAGCTGCAGTGAGATGTTTCAGGAACATACCTAAATGCAGACTTCAGAGGATTTATTCTGTCCATCTTTTTGTATTAAAACTTCATTAAATTTGTTTCATTAAGAACATGATGAGAAGTGTCAGGCCCTCATGCTGCACTTTCATTTCTCCCTCCTCCTGAGCTCCCCAAAACATCCCAAACCCTAAAGTGAGTCTTGGAGGGAGGCACATGCCCAGCCTTCATCCTCTGTGTCTGCTGTATTTAACATAAACAAAAAGGGAGACAGAAAACAGGACCCAAAGTCTGCTCAGCTCTCAAATTCCTTTTTACTGACTTTTTTTTTTGGCCTTCAGGCTTATCTTGGGTTACCTGATAGAAAACAATACCTCTGTTATGACATTCAGGCTCTCTGGATGTCTGACAACTCTTCTCAGGGCACACTGCAGTGATGATTACTTACCTTCATTATTTAACACAAGAATTTATGTACCTGGATAATTCATTCCATCGTGTCCCAATCCCATCTTCTACAACACGGAGAACAACAGCGGCCACAGCTCCAAGCACAGCAGGCAAACCAAAAGTGAAATGAACTCCAGAAGTATCCTGGAGCTTCAAAGCAGGATTCAAGCACCTCTGGGAAGAAGAAAAGGTTTAACTGACACGCAGAAACACAAGTTGTTAACTGCAGATCAGCTGTTGCAGACCTAGAGGATGAATTTGCTCTCACGAGCTGCAATCCTGCACTCTGCTCAAAACCCCTCAGGTTTCCTAGGTTGGAAAAGAGGTTTCCCTTGGGGTATCCTGCACTGGAAAAAAAAAAAAAAATTACACAGCTTATCCAAGAACCATTTAGGGGATTGAGCATTACCTGCAAACAGTGAGATCCCAGGATGGTGATGACACTGCCCAGCAGCCCCAAAATCATGGCAATCCAAGGGTGCTGGATGCGCTCTGCTGAGTAACTGACAGCCACCCCTCCAGCCAGCACTGCACTGCGGATGTGAGCCTGCAAAAACAGCACCAGGGCCTTCTCACAGGGCTTGGAGGGACAGCACAAGGGGCAGCAGCTTTAAACTGAAAGAGGGAAGGTGCAGATTCAATATCGGGAAGGAATTGTTCCTTGTGAGGGTGGGCAGGCCCTGGCACAGGTGCCCAGAGCAGCTGTGGCTGCCCCTGCATCCCTGGCAGTGCCCAAGGGCAGGCTGGACAGGGCTGGGAGCAGCCTGGCACAGTGGAAGATGTCCCCTTGGCAGGGGGTGGAATGGGGTGATCTTTGATGCCCCTTCCCATCCAAACCCCTCTGTGAGTCTGTGACTGTCAGACCCTGGACAAGGTTTCAGTTCCAGTGTGTTCCTGAGGGTACCACAAAATCTCTTTGAACACAAAAACCCCACGCAGGGTTTCCCCACGTCCTTACCATTCTGAATTTGCCATCCTTGGAGGTCAGAGCAGACAACATGAAGGCAGCCACAGCACTCACTGCGAGGGCCAGGTAAGTGTTGAGCACTACTTTCTCCTTGGAGTGAACCAGGATAGAATTGAAGCTCGGCCAGAACACCCAGACAAACACAGTGCCTTGGGGACAAGGAAAGAGACCCTCAGGAGCTGCTCTGAACCACAGGGAACCCATCACTGCCTGTCTCTGAGGGCTCCAGCCCACAGTGTGCATTCACTGTAACTCCCAAACCCTTCCCAAAGCAGAGCCTGCCCCAGGATCGCTGCCAGTGCCACAGCTCCATGACCACACAGGCTCCTCTAACAGGAATGAAAACAGGTTCTTCTGCTTCTAAAGGTCAGCGCTGGGGAAGCCCAGCCTCCCTGGAGGAGCGCCCTGCCTGGCAGGATGCATTCCTCCTCACCTGCCTGGGGCAGCACTGCACACCCCGAATTCCAGCCAGCAGAGGGACGGAGGGACCTCGGTGGCCTCAGCACCGCAGGCTGGTCCCACCCGGCGCTGCGGCCCTGGGCTGTGCACAGACTCCAACACCAACACAGGCCAGCAGCTCCTCTGGCATTCCCAGCTGTTGTGTTTTGTTTCCAGCCCTCTCCCATCACTGAGGATGGGTTCCCCACCCCCCAGAGGTACCAGACCCTTGTGCAATCCACCCGACAGTGACATTTGGTGTGTTCTTGTCCAAGACCCCTGACAAGTGACACAGGCATTGTCACTATGAGGCACAAATCCAGTTTCCAGCAGCCCTGGCAGGCACTGATTTTGTACCAGCTTGTCTTGGCTCTGTGAAATCCAGTTTCCATTGCTAATATCCATGATTTCAGTGCACCAAGGCTGAGATAACCCTGCCTCAGACAGGAGAGGCCATCTCAGCAACTCTGAACTTATGGTGGCACTGAGGACTTGTGAGATGATTCATCCTATTCCCATTGATCAGGCAGTTAATCAGTCATAAACACAGATATAAAATCTACTGAAGCATTCTTATGAGTATGTGCTCAGCTCTGGAAATAAACAGCAAACAAGAACTCCAGGGACACAAAAGAGCAGCATTTAAATTTTGTATTCCCTAAACTGGGCAAAGACTGAGAATGAGACTCTGTGGACCCCTGCAGGAAGCTCTGGGCTCAGCCTGTGGCAGCTGCACTACAGAAACTGTGATTATAAAGACACCAAATTGCTTCCCTAAGAAAAGGAATGAAAGTCCCAGACACTGAGCCTGTCCCTCCCCAGCTCCCCTGTCGTGGGCCTGCCTGTATCACACTCCCCACCCTTCACCAGGCTTTATCTTTTTATTTCCCTTACCAGCAGGGACTGCCCTTTTCTATCTCTGTGCACCACCTGGACCAACAGGCTGAGCTCTGCTGAAATACAAGTTATGAGCTCAGCTCTGGCACACAGCCCCTCACCAGCAAGCCAAGGGGACAACTTGGCCAGGAAAGAGTGGTGAACCTGGAGAAAGAGCTGGTAGCCTGGAGTAGCCTTTATGCTGAGGTGACAAAGCAAACTGAGCCCCCCAGCTGTGGCAAGAGAGGCCTCTGGGCCAGGGAGGAAAGGGGCCATTGCCACAAACAGCAGCAGCTTCTGTGCTTGGCTGCATCCAGAGCAGCATTTTGCATTTACACCCCCAACCCTCCCCATGTTATCCCTGCAATCCCTCATCCAGCTGGGGCATTCCAGCCTGGACTCACCCAGCACTGAGAACAGCTCTGACTTTGGGGTGCTCCTGTTCTTGTCCAGCCCTGGGGGAGGCTCAGGGAAGCGGGAGGAGAGTGCCACACCAAAGTAGGCTCCAAAGAGGTACACGTGCATCATGGTGAGGTAGTCTGGGACCTGTACCAACGGAATATCCACCAGCTGTGGGCTGATCCAGGCCACACAAAGCCTCTGCTGCTGCTGCTCCAGTGACATTTCCCCCCACAAATCTGCAAATCCCACCAGGGTACCTGCAGGAACGTCCCGTTGATGCATCTGCTCACATAGAAAAAGATTAATTCCACCAGGGTCATCACAATTAACTGCACAGGATTGGCCTTGCCCAGGACAGCCCCAGTGGAGATGACCACAGCAGTCATGCTCACCACAGCCTTTGCTAGACTGCAAGAAAGAGAGGAAAGAAGAACTCAGCCTCAGGGTGACACCAGGGCCAATAAAGAGGAATGACACACAACAATGCACTTCAAAACCAAAAGCCCTCTGAAATGCCTGCAAATGTGACTCTGCCCTTCCCCAGCAGGGCCCCACAAGGAGACACTCACTCCACAGGAGCAATCAGCAGCTCTGCACTAGCCCAGCTCCAACATGAACTCATTACCTTTCCATACCAATTGCATTTTGCTCTCCCCTAAGGAAAACTAAGAAATCTTCTGCCAGCACGGAGCACTGGACACCAAGAACAACGAGCAAGAAGTTGAACCCAGTGCTGCTGAAGCCATATCTCCTCAGAACCATCAGGAAGAAGCCAAAACCAAAAATCACCATGTGGGTGACATCTTGAAATTCTGCAGGACAGAAAAGAACAAGACAGCAGTGAAATTATTAATGTAGATTTCTGGTTTAAAAAAAAAAATCAATTAAAAAATTACAATTAACTAAGAAGCCTTCAGATAAAAAATTAAGTGGCACTATTGTTTAGAGCTTGCAAAGAATCCCAGAGCTTTCTTTCCAATCTATAATCAGAGAAAAAATACCCTTAATGCTGAATTTATTTTTACACACTGATCTGAATGGATGCCACAGCGTGAGGGCTGAGAGGTCAAAAAACCCAACAGAAAACTGACCAAAAATCCAATTTAGTCTCAGATCCCCATCACACCTGTGACATAAAGAAACTCCCAGCACTCCTGGCAAGTTCAAAGAGCAATAAAACCATTCTGCTCCTCACCACCAGACCCGCTGAGTCCCAGGGCACAAGAGGAGCAGGGATCCCCCCCTCCTTCCCCAGCAGGGTGCCAGGCTTACCCGGGTAGGAGCTGGATGAGGAGTAGGTGTCACTCACTCCTGGGAAGCCAAGGAAAGAGCGGATGAGGAGCAGAGCCTGCAGCAGCAGCATGAGCCAGGGCACGCTGCAGCGGAAGCTGAGGTAGCGGGAAGGCATCGTGCGCTCGGCCGCATGGAGCAGGGACACGGAGCGGCTCCTCTGCCCTCTGGAACTGTCCCTGTGCCCTCACACCACAGCAAAGCGGCTGTGCTGGGAACACAGCGAGAGATAAAAAGGACAAGAGGCGTGAGCAGGGAGCAGCTCCTTATCTGGGCTGTGGCAGGAGCCCAAACTCTGCCCAGCCACAGCCACAAGCCAGGGCCAGAGCCGTGGCAACAGCCAGGGCCACAGCCAGAGCCAGAGCCAGAACAACAGCCAGAACCACGGCCATGGCACGAACCAGAACTACAGCCAGAGCCAGAACCACAGCCAGAGCCAGAGCCAGAGCTAGAGCCACAGCCAAAACCAGAGCCACAGCCACAGCCAGGGCCAGAGCCGTGGCCACAGCCAGAGCCAGAGCTAGAGCCACAGCCAGAGCCAGAGCTAGAACCACAGCCAGAGCCGCGGCAGAACCGGCGGGACCCGCCCGGCCCCGCCCCTCGCTGAATGCCCGCCCCCTCCCCACAGGCCGCCCTTAGGGACTGCCCTCCCATTGGCTGAGCGTAGCTCCTCCTGGCTTCTGATTGGCTTATCCCCAGCACAGGCCGTCTTTGGGCCGCGCGTTCTGCACTGCGATTGGCCCGATTGCTTGTCACTCAGCTACGCGCGCTATTCATTGGCTGGCACGGCCTGTCGGTCAGGCCGAGGGTTATTTTGCTCTCCTGTGAGAGGCGGCGCAGGCCGCGCTGTGGGGGCGGCACCGGGCGTCACAAACTGTCACTGCCTGACTCTGCACCTGAGACCCAGTGGTGTCCCCTTCCCCAACTGCCCATTTGCCAGCGAGGCTGTCAATCAAGCGGGAGAGGTGGCACCTCGGTGCTACGGTGACAGAGGAAATAGAGCCCTCCTTCTTCCGTTTCCGAGTGGATGGCTGAGCTGTCCTTTTATTTTTCTGTTTCTTCTCCATTGGAGAATTTTGCTGTCGGTCACCGCAAGGGGCGGGAACCAGCCCGTAGCACAGTAGGCGGGAGGAGACCAAAGTCTGTATTCTGATTGGTTGATATGCCGTCAATCACAAACCACCTCTTTTGATTGGTTTGTAGGGCCGTCATTCACAGTGGTAGGCGTGCCAAGCGACGGCACGAGGCGGGCTCAACTTTCTCGCACTGCGATTGGTCCACTCTACCGTCTGTCTGCCTTTCCCTGCTGCCGATTGGTCGAACATGTTGTCACTCAAGTGGGATCAACCATTTGATTGGTGATCGCCGGGGAGGCGGGGCGCTGCGCGGCGGCTGCGCGGGGGGACACGGCGGGGAGGGACGGACCAGGAATTATTTTTATTTCTTTGTTTCCCGGGGAAAAAAAAAAGAAAAAAAAAGGGAAAAAAAGAAAAATAAACCCAAAAAAAAAGCCCCGCGCTCGGGAACCCCCCGCGGGGGCGGATGGTGCTGCCGTGAGCGGGGCGGGCCGGGCCGGGCCGGGCCGGCGGGATGAAGCGGCGGAGCGCGGACTGCAGCAAACTGCGGCGGCCGCTCAAGCGGAACCGCATCACCGAGGGCATCTACGGCAGGTACCGAGCGGCCGCCGCGGCGCCGGGAGCGGGCGGGTCGCGGCCCCGGGCCCCCCGGCCGCCCCCTGGCCCTGTCACCGTCATGGCGCCCCGGCGCCCCTCAGGCGCTGCCCCGCCCCGGGCCCTGCGCGCCCCCGGGGCTCCGCGGGGCCGGGGGTGCTGCTGGCCAAGGTGCTGCCGGTGCTGCCGGCAGGGAGCGGCCGGAGCCGGGCCTGGGGTGCGCGCACAGCGCTGGGGCCTTCGCCCTGGGGAACCCCGGCGGGGTCCCGGAGCTCCGAGCCTTCGTCTGGGGAGGGTTTCCCTGAGGGGTCTCGCAGCTGGCACTGCCGGAGCTCCGAGCCTTCGTCTGGGGAGGGTTTCCCTGAGGGGTCTCACAGCTGGCACTGCCGGAGCTCCGAGCCTCGTCTGGGGAGGGTTTCCTGGCGGGGTCTCGCAGCTGGGCACTGCCGGAGCTCCGAGCCTCGCCTGTGTCTCCCTGGAGGGGTCTCACAGCTGGCACTGCCGGAGCTCCGAGCAGCCGCTGCCGCCTCAGCAGGGTCTGCCCGGGGAGGGTTTCCCGGCTGGGCATCGCCAGGCTCGGGCTCGGGCTCGCACCCGCAGCACTCCCGACCAGCCCGGCTGGCTGCTGGCCCCGCTCCTCGGCCGGGGTCTCTCAGAGCTGTGTTCGCCGTGCTGCTGGTGGAGCTGCGGGGAAGCCGTGAGAGCCACGGGAGCGGGAGGCTGGCTGGGAATTACCGGAGCAGGGCTGGATGTGCTGCGGGGCACGGCTCACCCCTGACCCTGGCACTGAGGGGACAAACAGCGCTGAAGGGAGATGCACGTGGGATGTGCCTCATCCAGGCCATTGGGATGTGCTTTCCAGGCGTGATTTGTGTTTTCCAGGTGTGACTTGTGTTTTCCAGGTGTGATTTGTGTCCCAGCACAGCCGCTGTGAGCCTGTGTAAGGAGTGTGTGAGAGCTCTGCTCTCCCGAGTGTGTCAGGCTCTGTGTGGCGTGCAGTAATTGTGCATTTCTCAGTCAGCAGGAGTTTGGGTCAGGAGAGGCTCGGCAGCTTGTGAGAGCTGTAGTAAATGTGCTGCTGTCCCATTTCTGTTTCTAGTTCAGTGGGGTTGATGAATGCAGTGCCTGGAAACCTGAGCGAGCTCATACAATTCAGATGTTAACTTTGCATGAGGGAAGCAGCTGCTGGGGAGCTGTGACAGGAATAAAATTGTCCCAGTGTGCTGCTTATCCCACTTGTAGTGAATCTGTGAGAGTAGAGAGCTTCTTGCTTTAGACTTTCAGGTTTTGGGAAAACCCTGCCTGGAACAGTAAAGAAAAGCATCCCTTGTGTAGAAATTATTATTCAAGGTGAAGAATAATTCAAATGTATTGCTCATAACTGGATTTCAAAAGTAACTCCAAATGCTTTGCTTTTGAGGTGACTGGCAGGGAAGGTGGGGTGAGAGAAGGAGGGGAAATCAGGGAAAGCTCAGAGGAGCTCCAGGAGCTGAGTGTGTGCAGCAGGAAGAGCTGCTGGAGTCCCTGAGCAGCTGAGGCATCTCTGCCTTTGCTTCTCCTGGGATGCTTTGGTTCAGGAATGGGATTTTTAGCCTTTGTTTCACGTGGCTTTTTGCTAAACAGAAACAATCTGTGTCCTCAGAGAGTTGTCACACAGAAAAGGAGAAATAGTGGGAAGGCTTTTCCCTTTGGAAATCTAATCTGAGGGAAGTTCTTCTGCATGGATTTGGCATCTTTCTCTTTTTTTTTTTTTTAATATTTTTCTCCTCTCTTCACTCCATAATTCAGTGATCACATACAGGTAACTTCTCACAGAACTACAGTTGTCTAAATTCTTGTAATTACTGCAGTTATTTATTCAGCTTATCTTAATTGTCCCCATCAGCTTACACAGACCCAGTAAATGCAGTTATCAGGAGGAAGCATCCTGAGTTTATGGGCAGAGCAAACAGCACCATTGGGATGCTTAACTCTTTGTTTTGTTTGGTTTTTAAATTAAGCCTGATCTTAATTTAAGCCTCTTGTCCAGCCTGGCATGTGAGCAAGGCAGAGCTGCCACTGAGACACGTGGGGTGGGTGAGAGCTGGGAAAATGAGGAGTTTTGGGGCAGGGGAGGAATTGTCCTGCAGGGAAGCTCTGGTGGCAGAGTTCATTGCACGTGTAAAACTGAAGCAGATTGTAAGAAGTGATAGAAAACCAGAACAGAGTTAGAAATAGAAAATCCTGGGCAGCACTGAAAGGTGTGGATGATCTGTCACTCTCTGAATGCTGATTTTTGCAGTGAATTATGCTCTTTAGAAGTATTGCAGGATTTGTGGAAAGAACTTTATTATAATTTAAAATAACTGCTTTCAACAGATCTCCAAACCCACCACGCTCACGGTAGGAATTGGAGGGTCTCTTACTTCCACAGCTTCTATTCCAAATTTTGCCTTTTCCCGTGTAAAACAATGGCAACAAAGTGATTTAACATCTCCTACCTTTGGCAGTGTGCATGCATTAAACCCTTAATTGTTAATTAAAGGTATTCATTGCAGCTTGTCATCAGTTAAGCAATTAAAGTTTATTTGTTCCTGCTTGTTCCTAAGTCTTCCCAGTCCTCATCTTTGATCTGGCTAAAATCCTTCAGCTGCATTGCTGATATTGCTTGTTTTGGCTCTGCTTGGTCCCACTTTCCTAGCTCAGGAAGTTTCAAGATGAATTCCACACATCCCTGCTTTAAGTTGTGCTGTCACATCAGCTGATGGATGCTGTCTCGTGGATTCCCTGACAACAGTCCTGAAACACTCCATGTTCCTTCAGAGGCAGGATTTTTTTAGCTGGGGATGGAAATTGCCCTTTATCCGTGGGCTGGCAGCCAGGTGGGTGCCTGGCAGGGGAGGCTGTCTCATCTCCAAGTGCCCCTGGTGGCACAGGACAGGATTCCTGGGTGCCACAACCCCATAAATGCTCCTGGTTCCCTCTGCCACCCAAATCCTGACAGGGCTGAATTCCAGGGGCTGCATTTTTAACAGCCAAATAAACTGGAAGGAAAACATCAGCACTACCTCCAGGAACGTGGCCTTTTTTAGGCTTTTCTTGAAAATCCATAATGATTCCTCCTGCTAATTTATTCTGGCACTTTTTTTTTTATCAGCTTCCTATGGAGGGTAAAGCATTTTCTGGAGCTCTGGAACAAAGCAGCACAGCTGCCTTTTATGACTTGAACTTGAGTGCAGGGCTCCAGTGTCATTTATCCTACATTTCATGTGCTCTGCTCTGCCAGCCCCTCTGCCCTGGCTCTCACTCCCTGCAGCTAAAGGAGCTCTCCTGTGGCTGCATTTTGGGATTTGGGGGTTTGCAGCTGAATTCCCAGAGCTGGCAGTGCCTCCTGGCCCAGCCCCACAGTGCTGGGTGCTGACTGTGTGCCCCTGCCTGGGCTGCCATCCTGCAGGGATTTCCCTTTCCTCCTGCCCAGCTCACGGTGGGTACCCTGGCAGGACACAGCACCAGGGCTCAGGGAGCTTTCCTTACATTTCTTTTCCTTTTCAAACCTGTAGCTGGCAGGTGTTTCACGTGCTCAGTGCCAGCAGTGATGTTTCTGCCTTTCAGACTCGCTGTGTTTCCCTCCTCCTGCCCA